TGTTTCCAATGATCTTTGATTCGTTGATTAAAAGTCATTATCTTCGAAGTTATAGCGGTTTAAAATTTTCCTAATTTTAATAGAGTTTGATCGAATTTTAAGATAAATTACACGATAGATATATTTATTCCTAGAAAATTATTGATTATAACTTTCTTGCTAATGGTGTATTGAAGATTGTACATTGATTATTTCACGTTGTTTAGTCTTAAGTTTTTATTTAAGCAATCTGAGAAATTTTTTATATACATACATCGTGTTTTCGAAATCGATAAACAATGTATTGGAAAAAATTTGTCACAAAATGACAGTATCTTATTGAATAACTTTGTACAATACTATAATCTTGATACCAAATAGTAATCTATAAAAATATTTAATTAGAATGGTAATAAATATTGAGTGCTGGTAATAAATATCCATGCTTCCTTGTGTGGACTGCATACGAAATAACTAACTGGTTCTCGATTTAAATCTTGCACTTATCGATTGATCATACAGTGACTTTAGTTGTACTCGCGTTTCGTATTAATCACAACAACTGGCAATCACGCAATCATTCGAAGCAGAAACAATTAAACGAGATTTGTTTCTCAAGTATAACTGATCAAGAATACAATTACTGCTTGTTCGATCGTTATTTCGATAGTGATGATATATAGAGTAACTCAATGACTTTTATGGAAGTAATTATAGGTGTGTAAAAGATCACAGTAAATTCTTCTAGTCAATTATTTTTTTTTTGTGGTAGAAATAATTTCAATCAATGATATCTTACATATAAATAACGTAAAAAATTAATAATAATCGCCAAATTCGAATGTTCTTGAATGTTGAATTATTCATGCAAGAATTTTGCATGCAAAATTATCAGATCGGATCAACTTCTCACTTGTTCCAATTATCCAGACAAAGTATCCACCATTCTGAGATAAAGAAAGATAGAGAAAGAGGATGTATTTACATTATCGAGTTCGAGCAAAGCGTTGAGAAGTTTTCTCGTTACCGACGATGATTATTTTTACATTATCTGTAAGAAAAGGGCGGAAGCAAAAGAAACTGGAACGTTTCTCTCGTGGAACTCCTTGGGCGTTGACAAAACGACAAGTTAAAAGAAAACGGGACGTCCGTAAATCTTAAGTCTCGATCACGAGGCTATTCTCGAATCGTAGCACGATACTATTAACGGCGAGGAAAATGATCGAAGTGAGCTTTAGATTGGAAAGTATTAATTGGAAAACGTATCCGGCTCTTCTTCGTATCGAATATTGAATTTAAATATAAACTCTCGAGATCCAAATTTATTATGAAAACGATATCGAATGATATAATTATTCTTTGTTCTTATGGAAAATGTATATTTGTATATTATAGTACTCTTTAATGATAATATTATATTCTATTTCGAAGATAAATCATATCAAATATTTGGTAAGAATGTAAAAAGTATTTTAATGTTAGATTATTTTAAAATATTTAAAGTATACGAAAGAAATTTCGAAATTTCTTAAATTTATGCAAAGTTTTCTTTTCTACATACAATTTTAAAATCTAAAATTAATTGTTTAAGACTTTTTTATTAATTAAAGCAATATTATAACTTAAATCTATTATACGTTTCTATTTGACTAATTTTTGATTAAATACGAATAATTAACAAAAAGTATTCTAAATGTAGAACTAAACTTTTCTATTCGAAAATTCGTTTCTGAGAAAATTCAATTTGAAAATTCGTTGAATACGTGTATCTAATTAATTCTTCATTGAATACTTTAAATTAGATTTTCTCAGAAACTGAAATTAAAAGAAGAAATTACATTACACGTTTATAATTGAAAACTAGCATAACGGATAATTGAGAAATAATATAATATAATTTAAATAATTATTTACCATAGAAATAGAAATTTTAGACCAAAACTTTAAAATTTAAAAAGAAATATTTCAACACATTCTAATTTTTTTCAACTGATTATCTCTACGTTGAATATTTTATGACAAAGTTAGTCAAAAATTTATCAAAATTTTATCATATAAAGAATAGTTATTAATATGTAAAACAGTCAATGGTAAAAACCTATCACGATTATTATTCAACATAAATAAATTGAATATGAATCCGTGAAATATGATCAACATTAATCAATCAGATTTCTGAAACTTTGATAATTGTCGTTTCTGATTCGCTCTGAAATACTATCAAGTATTTATGGATTTCCGTATAATTTATGAGTATCGATTTTGATAGAATTTGAAAAACGACTGGCGTGATATTAAAACTTTTTCATTTTAATTATATCTAAATTGTAAATAATATAAATTATAAATAATATACCGCTCGTTTTTTAAATCTGTAATATTAATGTATCTAAAACTAAATTAGATATTTATTATAACCTTATTTACAAAGTATCAGAATCGATATAATATTCGTTATTTTAGATTTTCTTTTAGATAGTTCAAATTTTCTCCCCTTATAAGTTCTTTATAAGACACAACTTTGACAAACTCTTTGTAACATTTCATTATTAACTCCGAAGTACTTGAAGTTTCTTAAATGAAGAATGAACGCGTCTTTTAACGTGCTTTACGCTTGAAGATGGACTTTTTGCCTTGTAAGCAGCTAATTAATTTTATATTTATTAAACGAGAGAATACTTGACATCACTCGATAATTAAATAATTTTATATTCTTTATAAATTATACAAATTAAATAAGTCAATTCTATTAGCATTTTTTTTTAAGTTATACATTCATAAAATTAATTAATATTTCTTTTTATTTTACATCAAAATGAATGTTTTGGATTTGAATGCATTACATTTTTAAAAATGTAATTTGTATTTTAAAAAAGAAGAAATTTTTCCAATCGTTTTATGTATTAAATTGTTTTCCAAAGACATTTGATATTCGAATCAATATTATTAACAAGATCCAATGCTAATAAATTAATAATAAAATAAATAAACTTCTTTAAACGAATTTTACGAATAAACGGTTCAACAAGTTAATCCTCTTGTCGAATCCTCTTTGAACGAAATTCTAAAGTAATAAAGAAAATTTATCAATTCCATTATGTAATTGCTAAATTATCGTGTCAAGAAACGCGAAGATCCAAAGATTTGAACATGAAACAACCCAGAAATTTAATATCCTCATTGCCTCGCAACGAATCACAGAGACTCAGCCATCCGATATTTTTCAACCGTAATTGGCCAAGAGTCGGAACAAAGCCGCAGATCGTTCATCGAAGTTGCCCAAAGGTCTCGGGGAACAAAACGGCGCACAAAGCTCCTCATAAATCGTGCGTAGTCGTTTTTCACGCGGTTTGCCGAAACTGACTCGTGATAGAGGGACAGAGGAGCGGGAAAACAAGAGAGAAACCGAGAGACAGACAAAGAAAGAGGAAGCGAAAAACGAAAAAAAAAAAAAAAAAAGGGGGAAAAAACGGCAGAATCGCAATGGTAACAGCCGCTGTCGCGACGGCCAATGACTGGGGCCGATTTCGCCGGAGGGTGGCTTTTGAAAAATGACTGTCGGCCGCCGGAAAAACGGTGAAGCCCGGCTTTTGACGGTCCATTAGCGCGTGCACGTGGCCCATGCGTGGCCTATTATACCGACGATAGACGACACAACGAGGCCGGATATGATCGCAATTGCGCAAATAGTCCGAGCGTGCGCGTCGTTATTGCGATTAGTCGGTTAACCGAGGCTCAAACTCGTCCCATGGCCAAGTGGCCGGTCGCCATAAGCATCATAAGGGGCGACTGAATGCGGTCTGGCTCGTTGCTGGCGCACCAAGGAGGCAGGGTCGTGCGCAGGGCAAACGCTGAACACGGTGGAACGTGACCGCAGGTATCGGGCCGTTCCCGAACTTGCAATTAACAAAACAGATTACACTCGATCAACGAACGCCTATATCACTTCCGGTATCCGTGTGCAGGCCAACCGGAC